TTATATTGTGTCGTATTTATTCGCCTCTATTCTGCTCTTGTCACATTACAAAGCATTACACGGATGCACACCACATCGCGTCACAGGGAACGTATCGCATCTATTAGTATACCATAAAAATAAATGGTATTTTATTGCATCACATTATTTCACATCGGATAACATCTCACCCCACCATATCACATCACATCAGATCGCATCAGATAACTTTAAACCTCACGGCATCGTATCGTATTGCACCTTAACCCATTAAATCTCACTGCATGACATAACAGCATACCACAACACACCGCAACATACTACTTCGCATCGCATCAAATTGCATCTTATTCCATATATCGTATCGAATCACATAACTTCAAATCGCATTGTATTGTGCAGTCACTCGAGCACTGTTACATACTATTTCAATGTAGCAGTATTCGCATCAAACGGTCTCACCTGTCGTCTCTGCGTGGCCTCGGCAACCCGCAATTCGGCCAACCTGGTCTGCCAGTCTATCAGACGACCGGCCACTGCCGCCTGCAGACCCGTCTGTCCGGTGCGAGTCTCAAACTCAGCCAATAGACGTGCCACCTGCCCGGTTGCCTCCACGGCCTCAGCTCGACCCTCGGCAGCCGCCTCAGAGACGATACGAGCAGCCTCGGCTGCCTCCAGAGCCGTCTTCAGTTGGGCTGCGTCCTCGCGAGCCCTCGAGAGCAGCAGAGCCAGCTGCTCCTGTTGTCCGATCGGAACGCAGCCTGAGAAGCGCATTCGCAAGGCCTAGCAAAAGAGCAACATGTGAGCAGATGAGTAGAGATTGGTGCCGGTGAGAAAGGATTATGTCGATCAGGCAACAGTAAGAAGAGAAAACAGCACATCCGATAGGAAGACATGTAGCCCGTGGCAGGTGTTGAGTAGAGGCAACGGCACATTCGAATAGAAGCGGGTTGAGCTCGTTTTCGCAACTTGATCGTGTTGCCAGGGCGACTTGATTGGAGACATCTTGCCCAAACTCCTCTACTATAGCAGTTATCATAATTTTCGGCGTCAGACCGTGGACTTGGTACATTCTTAGACGTGTTGCCGGAATCGTAGTCGGCATCGTCAGTGAGTCTTACCATTCTCAGTAACGAGCTACAACTCAGACAAGAGACAAATTAAGTCAATCGCTTGACCAAACATTCTGCAGAAACGGTTGTGCTATCACGTCTCTTTCTGTCCTGGTCCATCTATACACTCCCTACTCCCATCAAAACCTTTTACTTATTTATATATTCACATCTCAAAAAATGTGTTCCTTTTGGTGGGTTTAGGGTGTATTTATCACACCGACTCGGGCCTCCTATCCGGAACTCCCTTATGGTCATATAGACCCGTTTCGTATCTATCTGGTTGACCAATTTCACTTGGTTCCAGTCCCGGTGTGAATTTTACTCTAGGCTCTATAAGAGGGTAAGGAGTGGATAGATAGGCCTGGACAGTAAGAGAAGTTGTATCACAACCGTTTCGCCATTAAGTTAGCTCGAGAGATTGACTTTATTTGTCTCTTTAACGAGTCGTAGCTTGGTGATGAGAATGGCGAGACTCACTGCCTATGCCGACTAAGATGCCGGCGAAATGTTTGAGAATGTACCAAGTCAACGGAAATTACGACAACTATTATAGCAGAGGACTTAGGACAAAGTGTGTCCAACTAAGCCATTCTAGCAACAAGATCAAGTTACGAAAACGAGGTCAACCCGCTTCTATGCATCGAAAGGAGGCTGTGCTCATACCGAGGATCATACTATCTTGGTCCTCATATATTAAATTCGAGTAGAGATCTGAATTATAGCAGGTCCTACAATATGATAGAAGGACCAATTGTTAAGTTGACCAAAACAAAATCAACAGAAAGCCATAAAATGTCAGTATAACAGAGTTTTTCTCATTCGGGCAGGAATACAGTCTCCACCTTGCCTAGGACCCACTAAAACTCCGAAAGGGATTGGCAATCAAGTTGTCTGCGTCAAATAGCAAAGCCCAACCACTCCCTCATCCAACTACTGAAACATGTCCATAGGCACTATGATATTATTGAGAGGACTTTCACTTCGTATGAAAGTGCTTACGGACCTACGTAGTCTCGGTCAGAGCTTTCTCTTAGGTCATTTGGCCTTGACGATCAGAGCCTGAAATGAGCCTTTTGAAAACTCTGATTTAGGACCGGTATTGCGTATAGACGCTAATGCACACACATACACACACGCACACCCTCGAGCAAAAGTGACAGAACCAGTATGAAAGATAATTAACCAAACCACTCTACATCGATCTATCTAGGTTTTTGATGTTATTTTTGCTTAATTGAGTCCATATCAGAAGTAAAATAGAGCCGAATAGTCTTCTTGGCCTAGTGCTAACATGAGACTTTACAAGAATCACACCCAGCTCGGATGATGTCCATCGAAGTTTTGTGGACTGCGTCAACCTGAACGTCGAGTAAAGGCCAAACTGCTGCAGTACAACGAGATTTTTCCGTCCTCATCTGGTGAGATCGACCAACGAATCTCTTATTCATACACTTTCATACAAAATGAAAGTTCTCCCAACAATATTATCTCGAAATCCAGTTTCTCTTCGTATCTACTATGATATTAACATTTATATATATATATCATAAGTTGGCAGAACACTTGTTAATGGTCCATAATAAGCCTTAATCGCTTGACGTAATAAAATGTCCAACACGTGTTTACAACAATAAAACGACTCAAATTCCCATAAAATACCACTGATAGTTTTGGAGCCCACTCACACTGTCCATAGTAATACCTTCGGGTCTGATGATGCAAATTCGCCTTATTGGCAAGAATCCGACTATAGAATGTGAGTTATGAAAGACATGGTTTGTCTTAAAGGCCACATCGACATATCCTGTGGCAACTCGACACATTCACAACTTGGCTGATTGATGCTCAAGAGCCAGTTTATTCCCCCATTCGGGACGCTCATGAGGCCCATTCTGCAAAAAGAGGCCACTGAAAAGCAACGCTAAGTAATAGTTAACTGAATCCAGGGGTTTTATGATTAGTTTTCTGTGGAAAATTGAAATATCAGGCTTTCAGTCACGCAAAGTTATCTGAACTAAATTTCTCACTCAAGATCTACAAATAAGTATCATAATTGAAATCCCAGTATCTGAAATATCGTAGCCCAATTAGTTCCCTTGTGACTTTGATTCTTTTAAAATCATTCGCTTGGGCCAATCGTACAAATGGATCGCAATTACAAAATCTCAAACAGCTATAGGCAAGCCAAAACTGCAATCGCAGACTTAGCATATTGTTTGCTTGGGCAATTCTACTGTTTCATACTGTGATTGGCTGTGGTCATCCGGTTCTTCCATCTGACCTCCCTATCAAATACTAAAAGGTTTCATATCGTTAGGGGGACCTTCATTTCGTATGTGAGTGCATGAAGAAGAGATTCTTTGGTCGATCTCACCAGATGAGGACGGATGAAACTCGTTAGATTTTATACGATATTCATGTTGACGCAGTCCACAGGACTTCCTACCTCGTTTCGGGTGAAAACGTACTGAGCTTTCGTCCATCATATGAAGGACATCATCAGAGCTCGGTGTCATTCTTGCAAAAGTCTTACGTTAACACCAAAGCAAGAACACTATCCGGCTCTATTACTAGGCCAAGAAGCCTACTGTTAACGAAAGCCTTTTACAAGAATGACACCCAGCTAATGCACACATACACACACGCACACCCTCGAGCAAAAGTGACAGAAACAGTATGAAAGATAATTAATCATGCTCTTTCATACGAAATAAAGGTCCCCCAACAATGTTATCTCAGGCGATTGATCGAAACCAAGTTTCTCTTTGTATCTACAGGTTTCAGATCATTCCACTGTACATCAAGTAATAATGTAGTCTTGCTGTTAGCCGGATAGGCAAATAAAAATGGGCAACTCTCCCTCATATAAAAGGAGAGAGAGAGAGAGTGAGTAATGGCTAACTTGTGCGTTTGCAGCGATTCTGACATTAAAATGAGTCATAAATGCCAAAAGAGGCTTTAACTTGCATCGATGGTCTCCCGAAGTCGTCGCCCTTTGAGCCTGGCTCTCTGTCGCTGACGGACCATCTCGGCATCAGCGTCGTCTAATCGACGCTCCAGTCTTAGTGCTGTAGCCTCCAGTCGGCCAGCATGTGTTTGGGCAGTGGCCAAACGACGAACTGCTGTCGCCTCAGATATCTAAAATTGAAAATTTGTTCCTAAATGGTCAGCAAGATTTAGGCAAAGCAATTCCCCAACAACGTCCAGGATACCTATTTTTGCATAATCTTGCACTACAAAAACGAAGCTTTAAACAATACCAATACTTGCATAATTTGTTTTAGGTTGGTCACGGTCGGCCAGGTTACGCATAAATTAGTAGCGTAAGATGCCACTAATTAACTAATAATATGTCATTAGAAAGTAAAATGAGTAAGTCTCCCAGAAGAAGAAGGCAGAGAATGGTTTA